TATATATATATATATATATATATATATATATATATAAATATATATGAAAATTTGATGTGGGTACTCAAATGAAAAGTCTCGATGAGTGTAACATTGTAATAAGCTTATATCTTTAAAATTATCAATAATTAAAAATGATATTGTATCTTGTCACCTAATGATGTTATTGAAGATATAAGCTCATCTTGATGTTACACTCATCGAGACCTTCCATTTGAGTACCCACATGATTTTTTTTTATATTTTTCATATATTTTATATATATGATATTTATGAAATATATCAAATATATGAAAAAATTGATGTGGGTATTCAAATGAAAGGTCTCGATGAGTGTAATGTCGGAATGAGCTTATATCTTTAAAAATGTCAATAGTTCATAAGATACAAGGTCATTTTTTAATTAAAATCAGTATTATTGTTACCTTATACTGTGATTATTCGTAATTCGATTACGATATTGTTGAATCAAAATGAAATTAGCAGAAATTTCACAATTTTTCTTGTTAAAAAAATTAGAAACTAAAATTGCAGATTCAGGAGATTTGAAAAAATTTAAGTGCAATTTTTTGGTTTACTGATTTTTAGGCCCAAGACAATTCATCCCCGACAAATCATCCTCAAATAATTTTACCAAAATATTGCAACACAAAATATAAATTTATGAATAAAAGTCATTACTAATATGCAAATAATAAATAAATTATAACATTAATTATACGTGGCGCGAATAATTCATCCTCGGCCCAATAATCAATAGTCTGATTTGTCGCTGGGATGATTTGTTGGGGATGAATTGTCTTGGGCCCAAAACGCGTCACATCCAATTGTTTATACATATTTTTTTTTGACTATTTTAATTAGTAACAAAATTTTTAAATTTCTGCTGATTTTTAGGATCAATATTATTAATTATTAAGAAGTTACGTACCTGCTCGACAGGATTCTGAGCCTGGAAGAGAATCTGCCGGCACAAAAGCTCGCCAAAGATGCACCCAACGCTCCAGACATCCACAGCAGCGGTGTAATGACGAGCTCCCATAAGAATCTCTGGTGCGCGGTAGTACTGCGTGACAACCTCCTGGGTCATGTATTTGTTCCTGTCTGGCTCCTCAACTCTTGCCAACCCAAAGTCGCATATCTTCAGCACGCAGTTGCTGTTTACCAGGAGATTACCCGGCTTTATGTCACGGTGAAGAATCCTGGCCGAGTGGAGATACTTTAATCCTGAAATAAATATGTAAGGTTAGTTTTATTTTTTATAAATTTATTAGAATATTATAAATTACATTATTATTTCAAAATTAACAAAGAAAAAAAACAATTTTCAATAGACAACTTGAAAATTTTCATCTAAAATTATTTATTTTTCAGTATACGAGTCATTGTAAATATATCAGTAAGAAAATTAACTCCACTGATAATCTGTACCATAGTAAAAAAAGATTCTTATGCAAAGTAAAAATAAATATTAAATTTTCTCAATATGATGTTCGGATCTTGAAGGCGTGTGAAAAATTATGACAGAGCATTTCCGAACTTTCATCATCATAACATTAAAATGTCGCTTTAATTATGTTTAAAAAAGTTTTTTAGATTTGGAAAAAAAACTATTTTGAAGAGACAAACTTGAAAATTTTCATCCAAAGTTATTTTTTCCCAAATATAGAAGACTTTTTTTCACTAAGAAAGTTACTGTGAGAACAATTTTAATTTCTTCATCTAAAAAATCAATTTGTTGAAAATTTCCAACAAATTAATTTCTTATCACAAAAAATGCCCATATTTTTCAAAAAAAATTTTTTCTCTCATTATTCTTTGTATTTTCAATACTAGTTTCTTCACAATAAAAATTTAGTTTAGTTTATTAACAAATTATGCCAAGGCAGATGCCGAATGGCAAAGAGAAAATATACCTAAAATTTTTACATTATTGTGCAGTGAGTGCAGTGTAACTTATAAACATTTAAAATGTTTTACATAAGAATATTTTTAGATAGGTGATATTGGTTTATATAAAATTATGATTAAGTATAAAAATTTAATTTATAATAAATTATCTAACAATTTTAAGAATCTTTGATGTTACTATAAAGACATCAGGTAAGAAAATTTAAGTTATAAAAAAGCTATATCATGAAGGTTTACTAAGAGTTTGAAGATTAATAATATAAAGATAAGAGCATTTATGATCAAACATCAAGATTAAATAAATAATCAAATATTTTATTTTTGAAAACCTTCAAGCTAGATGAATTTATAATATCCTCCAGTAGTAGTGCAGTAAAAATCCGTATTTTTACTGCACAAAAAAAAAAGTACACTGATAGAAGGATTTTTTTGTATTTATCGATGAGAGTTTAACCACTATAAATTTAAACATTTGTATATTTTCAGTATTACGTCTGTTTTCTGTGACACACCATTTTGTTATTTTTTTCTTTGTGATTGTGATGCTGACTTTGCTAACCTAATGTTATATGCTAAACAATTAATTTTTACGATTATTTTTACCTAGTCTGAGACAGCAACAAGATTTGCTGCCATCTGGGATTGTACAATGAAAAACAATCGACTAATGAAATTGTCTGTTGGCGCTATCTGAAGTGTATTTGAGAAGCTGTGATAAAAGTCATAGCGCGAAACTCAAAAGATATTTACCTTGGCTCTCCAGATACGGCAGTTATAATTTATTCACATAAGTTTCATGGTTTATAATTAATTGTTTTTTTAATTTCTCAACTTTTGATTCATTATTGTAGCGGATTGTTTGGACTAATTTTGCAAAAAATTTTTTAGGTGACTGAGAATAATAGTTAGATACAGAAAATAATTTATAAAAAAGATAAAATGATTACCTATAGAGTGAAAAAAAAAGAAGATAAAAATAAATAATTTTTTTATAAGCATTAAAGCTCCAATTAATATTATAAAAAAATTGTCCCCCATGAAAAAAAAATATAAATAATATATATTTCGAAATATATAAAAAATCTATAAAAATATATAAATATATAAAAAATATATGTAATAGAAATATTTTTAATAACTAACTTTTGGCCGATTTTCATATATATTTTATATATTTTAAATATATTTTAGATGTATTCAAGATATATTTTAAAATACATAAAAAATACTTAGATAAAAATATAAAAAAAAATATATTTTAAATATATTTTCTATATATTTCGAAATACATACACTGATAGAAGGATTTTTTTTGTATTTAAAAAGATTTGTTAATATTTAATAAATGATTTATTAGAGGATAGGTCCTTAACAAATATTTATTAATATTTAATAAATCATTTATTAGTTATTTAATACACACTGGATTATGAATATTTAAAAAATTCCTCAAAAAGGTGTTTCAATGTTTTATTTTAATTATAAAAATTACAGAGAATTAGATATTTAATGAAGTAAAAGAAAATTGAAATTAGAAGATACAAATAATAAAAAGATAAATTACAATTAGAAGTTTACATATATATATATATATACTTTTTTTTTTTTTTTTTTTTTTTAATTAAAAAAGTAATATAAAATACAAGGCGTTGGTTTAACCAATGTAGCCAAATATACTTATTTACAACTACGCGTTAAGTAGAGCCATCTACCAACACCGACCACCAACAAAATATTTGTTAACTATTAACAAATCTTATTTGGTGGAAATAAATACTTTTTCAATACACTAAAGCTTCTTAATAGTTACAAAAATTTTGTTCTCATAAAAAATTGATTTAGTTAATACTAAAGAATATTGTTAATAGTAAAAAAATATCTGAAAAAGATTTTAATAAATTGATTTATTAATTACAAACAAATCCTTCTATCAGTGTAGAGACAATTTTAGTTCAAGAAATCGCTTGATTTTCGTAAAGCACAAACTCATCTGCTTCGCTTATGAGGTGTGCAATTTACTTAAATTAAGTAAATAATTTTAAAGAATTTCATCTTCTAGATTTGAGCAGAAAAATTCATAAAAAAATATTTCTTCTTGGTTTAAGTAAATTTTATTTAATTCAAGAATTATTTCCTCTTCATTCAAAACAATGTAACTCTTCAAAATTATTTTCTTGGTTCAAGTTAATTTCTTCAGTTTGCAAGAATATTCGCTCAATACCCTGACAAGAAAATTGCTATTTTTTTTTCAGTATATAAAAATTTATTTTCTTTCTTATAATTGGCGCTGATGTTGATGAAGTAGAAGTCAATTCTAATATCACCTTTAATCAATCAGAAAATAATCATCCAGGAAATTTAGTAGCCCCCTGCAGATTGACCTTTCACCAGGAAGATAATAATCCTAAGCCTAACGCACAAATGAATCTATTGACCATCAATGTATTATGATACAATGTAAATAGCCATTGCTGTAACTTGCAATCAAGAGTCGCGACATCGCGACGATTAATCACTTGATTACATTAATCCAGTGGTAATTAATCTGGATGTTATCCGGAGACACCATAATGGCTAGACGTTCCCATCGATCTCGCATCAGAGCAACGCTCTCAATTGTGATTTAAATCAGAACAAATTTGGTAATTATAAGAGCCATTGATAAATTAAAGTTTTTGTATAATTTTCAGGCTCTGGTTGATATGAACCCAGCTGGATACGTCGCAATTCCAGGATAGAATTATATATAATATAAGGTAATGCCTGTGCAGGCAATACAAGCGACAAGTTTGGGGTGCAAACTGAATAGGTAGGATTACCACCGCCCTCATCTATGCTAGCTCTGTGTGTGTACAATAAGCGTTCTTATTGGAGAGAGGAGAACCAGAACTAAACTGGAATAGCACGAGAGAGACAGCGAATTATTTTATATAGAACGTGAGACGGAGAAGATTCTGAAATGAGAGGAGAGAGAGAAAATGATGGTTGACTTGGGATAATCTACCGTGAATATCAGGGAACTATTTGAGGACGAAGCTTCTCTAGAAACACGAGCTACAATTTATGATAAAAAATTACTAATAAAAATTTGGATCGATTTTGCGATAAATAGTATTCATATATCTTGTTTAATTCAGTTATTAATGCTCTTATTTTTAGTTTCAGGATGTTTTATTGATGGGTTCAATAATTCTAATTGGATTAGTTAATTCTGGCGGAACTTCAAGAAATTTAATCAGTTTTTCTTTATTATTTGAAGTTAAATTGAAAAATTGCATTGCCGGCTAGAATTAAATTTAATTTGAAAAAAAAAAAAATAAATGCTTAGAAAAGATTTTTTTGAGGATTTTTTTCTCTTGTTTGAAGAAATTTTGATCAGAATTTTTTTGACCAAGTGTTTCATGATTGTGAATATTAACCACTTCTTATGATTAAAGATAGAACTAAGATAATGATGATTGTGATAATAAAAAGTGCATTGACTGGAGGGCTGTCGACCCTCGTGTCCATTCGGTATAGTCGCAGGCGTGTCAGAGGTTTTGCTGTTCCCCTACTGCCACACACACTCTTGTACTTGACGCTCAGTCAACACCGAACCGGAAGCAGGGAAAAGTGATGCCAGGAAGAGCGTCAGCCAATGTTGGGCTTGAATACATGGAGGTAATAAGGAGTTTGCAAGGAAGTCTGCTTTCTTATTCCGGCTCGCCGACAAAATGGCTCTTCCGGAGTCGGTAATGTAGTTTTTTTTCATTTTTCGGGGTAAATATTGAAGATACCAAAAATTTGTAAGAATTTTTTTTTTGTAGAAAATTCAATTCTGTATAAAAAAGATCCCTATCCCAACTTTTTGATATTTTTTATAATTTATCCAGAATTAAAGATCAAAAATAACTTATTGCACTTGAAATTAAAAGTCAAATTTTTAAATCAGAAGTCATTTTTTCTTAATTCAAATTATCATAAATAAATTTTTATAATTGAACAAGATTTTTAGATACTTTAGGGAAGCATCGCCACCTACTTCAGCTGAGAAAAAAATTTTCTCACCTTGAGAAAATTTTTCTCTTGAATATTTGATACCCATTTTATATTATTTTAGCGTGCAATTATACATATTGAATGAAAAAAAAATGATGAAATATTATTTGATTTTCCCATTTGACATGTTAATCAATAAAAATATTAATGAAAATTTACTTCTATCTTTATATTTAATTTTTTGGAGCAAGAGAGAAATTTTCTCAAGACAAAAAAATTTACTTCTATCAAGAACTAAATTTTTTGGAGCTCGAGGTTGAATTTTCTCAAAACAAGAT